CAAACCCAAGTAACGCAGACGAGAGAACAAGGAGGAGTCTGCGAAATAAACCAAGACGGGAAACACCAACTACAACGAGAAGGAAAGCTGAAGGAAGATCAACTCCCTAACTCAGAGCAAGCAAATAAACCTAGTCTGGAGCTTCCACAATCAAGAGAAGCACAAGCCACAAAACAAACCACAAACAGCAAGACCATGTTACCATACCTGATTACACGAATGATATAGAACTAGAGACTGAGAGCCCCAAAATCCGGACCAAACGTCTAAGACGTACTACCAGACCTTAGAAAAAGGCCAACAAAACATCCAATTCTCATATGAAGACCAAGCCAAAGATTAAAACCATCCTAAATTACCCACGACTAAACATCTAAAACTAAACTGATTGAGATAGCATTCACTAATTCTATCTCTGTTATTCAAGATTGAAACCAGTACCTATTACACAGCCTAAGACAAGATTTAAAGCCGGCAAGGGTCGAAACCCCTCCAGAAACAAAGCCGGCGAGTTTAAAGGAAACTCCCGGAGCCAAAAGCCCGATTAACGGGAAACTGCAGACTGCCGAATCAGGATTCAAAACCTAACCAAGAGATCGAAGAGAGCAAAGGTAAGGCGGTTACAAACACAGCTTCCAATTCCGGTGAGGCATACGCGATGGAGATCTGAGAAGCAACTCCGCCAAGCGAATCCAAGCTCTGAAACAAGTTCGCCTCAACTCTTCCGCAACGGCGACATCATCTCCGGTGATCGAGCTCTCGCCGTTTCCGTCCAACAACCTGTCGGAGAAGAGTGGCGGCGAATCGCGTCTCCGCTTGGGTTTCACTATCGCCCACCGCCTCGCCTTTTCCTCCTATCCCCCGATTTTAAACCCCTTCCGTTGATCAACTATTCATAACGGGTTTTAATTTGCGTCGTTCTCCTCCCAATAACCCACGTTGCATAACACGTGTCTCAAAATTGTCTTCCGTATCTTACTGTTTTGCAATTAGTGGGTACTGAATCTATGCCAGTTTGGGCTTTATAAAAATATTGTGACGACCAAATTTAAAAAAAAAAAAAAAAAAAGTTACCATAAAATGTCATTTATATGCATGTACAAAATCTTTATCAAATAAGCATCACTTTAAGGTTTTTTAAGTTATAAATTGAGGTTCAGTATAGGTATAATTATCTTCATCATTTACATACGTTACTACTTTGCATGATTGCATTAGTCTTCTTTTTCTTTTGTTCTCATTTGATTTCTTTACTATATGTTTTTGTCTTTATCTCGTCATTTGTGTACAAATTGGAAAACCTCAACTGATGTTGGAGTGGGTAAAAAAACCCAGTCCGACCCTGAACCTGAAATGAACGTGAAAGGATTGCTCTCGTTTTAGGGAGAGTTCGAGTTTCAATTTTTGGGGTGAAAAGGATGAAATGATGTTGGTTAGTACATATTTAAAAAATCGCGGGTGCCCAAAACCTAATAGGATAAACCCATATAAGACTCTATTAGTGCGGATACCCGACCTGTTTCAAACCCGTGATTTTGTAATATAAAATGTATATCTGTGGACTCAATATTTGACATAGGTCTCGGGTACCCAACAGATTAAAGTCCATCATTAACATCCCTATGTGACATAATGCCCCGATATATGCACTGGTCCATAGTGTTGCCTCTCAAGAACCGTTCAAGATGTGTATTTCTTGGCTGAATAGCAAGAACAATGAGGAACTGGATCCAACGAAGTGGATTGTTTCGGGGTTTTACAAGACAAGCGGATGCTTCTCGATTCAGAAACCCGGCAACACCTACTAGTCACCTAGTCTCTCAGTTCATTCTCACACAAAGTGGAATGGACAAAAGGTTTTGTATACACATATAGGGTAACGTTTGGGAGCTGTATACAAACTTGTTACCATCTTGGAACAGTTCAACTCCAAACTGGTCACTTTTCGTTTGAATTTAATTTGTATTTATTGGAGCACATTTTGTTTAACAAATTTTTACCCTCTACAAACATGTTTATTAACTAGGATATGACCCGCGGTATACCGCGGGTTAATTATTTGATTTTTTATGTTTTTATAAATTGATGAATTTGTTGTATATAATATTTTTTGTTGTACATCGCGGATCACATGCGTTGTAACTAAAAAATAAAATTTTCAAATTATATTTATTTTGTTAGTGTTTAAGATTGTATAATTGTATTTTGATTTGTTAATTCTAGGATTTCAGCCGTGGTATATTGTCCCGTATTAATATCAACCCAAACCCGTCCACCATATAATCCCGTCCTGTGAAATTAAACAACATTTTGTTATTTTTTAATAACAATTTTATTTAAAAGATATATAATTCGAGTCAATTTAAAAGTTTGCTTTCAAATGGTAACCATAATATATATAAATTACTGTGTGTTTTTGGACCAACCCGTAAAAAACAATTTATAATTCTATCTTAAAATACTAAATAATCGTATTTTGAGTTGTTAATTTTAGGGATTTCACCCGTGATATACTGTCCCGTTTTAGATAAATTTAAAAATTAAGGAAATATCCGAATGACTCAATTTTGGGTCAGAATAAAAAAATGACCTGATTAAATGCGGAATTTTTAAAATATTAATATAAAATTTGAATGAAAATGGATATTAAATCTTTTATGTTAATCAAAATATGACAAACACTATTTTCTTTAATCATCATTTAAGGCCTCGAAAATGTTAGAAACGGCTCAAATGGGCCAACATGGGCCTTGAGGACTTCAACTCTGACGCTTCACTCCACTTAACGGGCCACACACTTCGTCTCCAAGCTTTCGACCAAAAGAGATTGAGCGATTCGCAGACTCGAGGACGCGGCTGTGTGAGTCTGTGAGAGAGAGAGAGAGAGAAAATGGCGTCGTCATCATCGAGAGGAGAGATGGAGAAGATTGGAATCGATCAGCTGAAGGCGTTAAAGGAGCAAGCGGATCTGGAAGTGAATCTCCTTCAAAATAGTCTTAACAACATCCGTACAGCCACCGTCCGTCTTGATGCCGCCGCCGCAGCTCTCAACGATCTATCTCCTTTGATTGGCGATGTTACCGCCGCCGCTGCTAGGTTTCGATATGGATCTGTTTCGATGGAGGTGGTGATAGCGTACAGTCCAAATGATGCAAGGGTAATCTTTTAAGGATCAGAATGTCATATCTTGTTCAACACTGAAAATGTCTAGAACTTATCTTTGATTTTATTTGTTAATACAATAACCAAATCATTTAAATCAAATTGATCTTCAACAACCAAGGTAGTTTAGTGTTAGGTAGAATCTTCTTTGGAAATAGTTTATGACTCCTGGTTCCAGAACTGGTAGCTACGGGATGGTAATTACAACTTTACAATAAACTATATAGTTGCATAGATGAAAATTGAATATATGCGAAGATTAGCAAAAGGGTTTTCCCAAAACTATAATTAATACTTTACTTTCTCATATGACAAAACATTCTTCTCCTTTAGACTCTTCTTCAATCCTATTTATATATATTCATCCTTCTGAGTCATTCTTCAATCTTATTCATTGATCTGAGTTATTTTGCTTGCTCCTTCAAATCTTGACAATGGCAGTGAACGTTGATGCAGAGTACCTCAAAGAGATAGAGAAGACTCGTAGAGACCTTTGAGCTCTCATCTCTTCCAGAAACTGTGCTCCCATTATGCTCTGTCTTGCGTAAGATCTTTGCTCTCAGAATCATTCTCTGTTTTCCTTTCTTTTCTTAATCTTTCCAAATGCAAATTATTGTGTGCATATAGATGGCATGATGCAGGAACCTATGATGCCAAGAAGAAAACCGGAGGTCCCAATGGATCTATCAAGTTCAAGGAAGAGCTAAACCGTCCACACAACAAAGGTTTGGAGAAGGCAGTCGCTTTTTTGTGGTGAGTTTATGATCAAACATTGACTCCGTTGTTACTACTCTTCAGGACCTGACATATAATGAGAAAGAATGTGTTTAGAGAGTGGAAATGAACGACTATTTATAGAGTTTGGATAGTTAGTATGTTATTGGGTTTAGAGAATATTTAAAAATCTTGATGACCAAGCATTTCGTATAATTCGAGATCTTTAAATTGGGAAATATAGAGAATATGCTAGGTTGATGCTTAAACAAATTAGGATAAAATCTTTTGGTTATGAAGCAATTTCCTTTTCGATAAGGTGAAATGAATATCGAATTATATGTAGGAAACAAATGATAAATGTAACATTAAAATAGGAAACAATTTGCCTTACGAAATCAATTTGTTATAACTATATATATTCTCCCTATCTTTCAATTATGAGAAATTAAATGCTTTTTGACTTGAATGTAGGGAGCATCAAATATGGTAGGATTCGATTGAGAGATTTCGGGTCAAAATCTCAAATAAGGTAAGATCCGAATGTCAAGATTGCGGGTCAAATTGAGAAGATTTCCGGGTCAATATTTCAACCCGATTGGGGACCCCAAAAACTGCTGCAAAAATGTATAGTAGATGATCTCTCTTTTGTTTTACAGTTAAACATCAAAATGTGGAAGAGTTTTCTCTCTTGAGTGTCTACGACATCATGTAAACAAATTAAATAATTATAAAACACTAACCTTAGGTAAATTTTAATTTTATAGGGATTACAGGATTTGTACTTTCTACATTCATATATTATTGTTATACATTATTTCATATGTCAAATTGAACCATTACATTATGAGTTTAAGTAATAAGAAATGTAAAATAACTAAAATGCAAATTAACATCATGAGCAAATTATTATTAAAATTCTCCAACATTTTGAGCAAATTATGCTTTCACATTTAACATATGAAAACATAGTTTATAAAGATATTCGAAAATAAGTTTTGTACAGTAAAATTTTAACTTTCAATTTTATAGAGAAAAAAAATATACCTTTTGTATTTCCTTTATTAAGAGCAGTATTCAATAGTAAAAACAATTCCTCTCAATAGTAAATACACTTTAATCACTTTCATTTTTTTTCCTTATAATACCAACTACCACTCAGTCAAGTCACACACATAATGTTAATAACATTAAATATTCTTAACAAAATATTAAATGGGTTAAGATTCACATTTGAGAAAAGATTACATGTTTCTTATCCCACCATATCTTATATACGCTTAAGCTTTTTTTTTATATATGCGAACCACCACATAAAAAATCTCAAGCCCAGTACCTAGAAACTTCAAACAAAAGATATCATGGAGAACATCACCGGCAACCACCAGCAGCCACAAAAAGATAACGAGCAACTAAAGAGTTTCTGGTCAAAGGAGATGGAAGGTGACTTGAATTTCAAGAATCACGAGTTTCCCATAACTCGTATCAAGAGGATTATGAAGTTTGATCCTGATGTGACTATGGTTGCTGGTGAGGCACCAATCCTATTCTCGAAAGCCTGCGAGATGTTCATCATGGATGTCACGATGCGTTCGTGGCTCCATGCTCAGGAGAGCAACCGACTCACGATAAAGAGATCTGATGTCGCTGCCGCAGTGGATCGAACCCTCATCTTTGATTTCTTGCTTGATGTTGTCGATGAGGACGAGGGAGAGTCCGTTGTCGCCGCTGCTGATCTCGTGGCCGTGCCACATCTTGACAATGGAGAACTGCCGCCGGGAATGGTTATAGGTACTCCGGTTTGTAGCGGTCTTGGAATATACGCGCCACAACCGCAGATGCAGGCGTGGCCTGGAGCTTGGACCGCGGCGCCTGGTGAGGAGGAGGATGCGGCTGGGGGAAATGGAGAAGACGGCGGAAATTAATATTTGGATTGGGTGTTAGGGTTTTTAACCGCTGTTGTGAGAATTTGAGTTATGTTTTTTATTTTATTTTATGTTATGTTTTTTTTGTTGTTGTTAATGTTGTGTTTTGTTGGTGTTAGTGTTGTGTTTTGTTGTTGTTAATGTTATGTTTCATTTGTCTTTTAAGTGAATCTAAATAATCTATTTCATAAGAGACAAGAGTATTGTATAACGCTTTAGGTAAGATGTTTCTTCATGTGTGCTAAAACCAGGATGTTTAATTATAAGACTAATATATTTTTCTATCACTTTTACTTGTTCAAGAACTCTCTTTCTGTGTTTGCAGCTGTTTATTATATTAAATTTTAGAGGCAACAAGATCCAGAGATCTAGAAACAAACCTTAATTTGAAACGTGAATCTGTTTAAAAAGTTTCCAGCTTTTATTTTTATTTTTTTTGGTAAGAACTAAGCTTAGTTTTTCAACGGAATTTGGCGTGCAAACGGTCTATTTGAGTTTAGTCTTTTAACAAATTTTAGCGCGCTTTTAATGAACTTGACGCCATCGATTCAATTATATCATGATTTATCACAGTTTTGTTGATTTGACCTTTGGTTTTAATTTACAAGTTTTCCGATTTGGACTATTAACCAATTTTTGGCATTTCTGTGTTATGACTCCTTTGTGTTTGCAATATATGTTGGGATAAATTTTAGAGGTATCATGAGATCTTAGGATCTAACAAAATACCATTTGAAACCCAAATCTATTTTCATTAGTTTTTCCAGCTTCTTAATTATCAACAGATCTGGCACGCAAATACTATCTTTAAAGCGAAAACTTTATACAGATTTGAATTTGCCACAACTTTCGCGCGCAAACCGTCAATTCGTTTTACATTTTTTTTTAGATTTAGCATTAGTTATTTGTTTAGGTAGTAGTTATTTAATAGAGCTCAATTAAGGGAAATATCTTCTTTAGAACAAAAAATATCTTTGGATCTTAAAATTGTAAGCTCAACCACATTTTAATCACCGAAGTTAGTCAAAGAAAAAAGAAAAACCATAAGGTAAATCCCTGTTAAACTGTAGTTACTGATTTAAACCCGAGGACTAAAGAAAGCATGCATGTCTTGAATGCTTAAGGAAGCACTGAACATTAATATTTGTTGAATGCTCAAAGAAATAACCAAGAACTAATTAAGGTCCGACTGAAAAAAATCAGTCAAAAAAGGAAGACTATATTTGTATACCTTGTTGTAGTTACATCGTGATTGACTTGACTGCTACAAATATCAATCTGTGTGGAAACAATTAATTGTAGTTGGCATCAAATTATACACGGACAGACATGTACAATAATATTTAAGAATAACCTGTTGACAAAAAAAAAAAAAAGAATAACCGAGAAGAACAAAAGAAATAAAATCCAGCACAATAATTTTTTAAATTTTTTTGACAAAATTGAAAGTATCAAACTGAAAGTGAGGAGGCTTTACAGAATAAAAGAAAAGGTTTTTTTTCAGCAGAAAAAAAGAAGAAGAAATTTAATTTCCAAGATTTTCAATATCCAGTAGGGCTCTTTAGAGTAGAGATACTTTGGTTACCTTTTAGAGATTAGATAAAAAGTCTTTGTTCAAAGTATATTTTTCTTGAAACAAAGAGGGAAATTAAAACGCCAATTAGAAAAGATTCATTTCTACAAACATCAATTTTGTATATGGAAATCATTTGAAATCAGAAAATGAGTTTTTGACTTTTGACTGAAGGAAAAACATACAAAGAATATAAAATTTGTGAATATAGAAAGCAATGTAATATTTACCATAAAAAGTTTTATGCATGTACGAATCCTCATTACCACATGTACCTATCATCCTATAAATTTTCTCTCTTGATGTTTTCACTTTAACGTGAAAGAAGAAGAAGATAAAATTGTTCTTTCTTCGATAATCACCCACAAGAATATGTGTATGTGTATTCCCTCCTGCTGTTATCAACATTATTGTGGGAAGTCTGTCAGTTGGACTTTGGTCCAATTGGTTTACCTGGTAGTCAGAAATGCAGGCGACCTGACTTTCCCCTGGCACTTAGTCGGAAGGCATTCCAAACTCGGGATAGGCAGAGTGGTAGCCCGAAGGGCCTAGCCGTTAACACGGTGGACCAGTCTACTATGTAGCACCTCGGTGCGTTCCTACCGGATAGCCGATAGGGTTTATCAAAAAAAAAAAAAAAAAAAATATGTGTATTTCTTGGCTAAATGGCAAGAAAAATGGATATGTGGCTTCAATTAAGAAGTGGATTTATTCAGGGTATTACAAGACTAGTGGATGCTTCTCAATCGGGAAATATAGCAGCAACGGCTCTCTCAACTCATTCTCACATAGAGTCCAATGGACAATATGTGAGAAAGGATTGGTGCACATATATCCGAGAAGAGGCAATATTTGGGCTCTTTATGAAAACTGGTCACCATCTTGGGATATTTCAACTTCAGTAGAAGAAATGAACAAGTATGAAATGGTAGAAGTCCTTCAAGATTTCGACGAAGAGAGAGGTGTGACAGTTGTGCCACTTGTTAAACTCTCAGGATTTAAACTTTAATTTTAAGTTACAACTGTCACACATCATTCTTCATCAAAATCTTGAAGCACTTCAACCACTTCATACTTGTCCACAACTTCTTGGGGGAGTTGAACTGTCCCAAGATGTTGATCAGTTTGCATACAAAGCCCAAACATTACCTTCTTTGGGATATATATATGTTCATCAATCATTTCTCACATATTGTCCACTCGACTCTATGTGAGAATGAGTTGAGATAGTCGTTGCTGCTACGTTCCCGATGGAGAAGCATTCACTCGTCTTGTAAAACCTTGAATTAGTCCACTTCATTGGACCCAACTCCTCATTGTTCTTGTCAAGGCTAAACAATTGAGACGGAGAAGATCACAAAGTTCAGGATCAAGATTTTTTGCTTTAACAGCATATTCTTTGGCTCCAGCAAAATTACCTACTATATACTTCTCTACAACTATTGCTTTTGCTCTTCTAGCTTCGTCTCTAACGCTTTCTGCTATTGATCCGTCCATTTCCTCATATCTTCGTCAAAATAGGGCCACAAGATTCTGCAAAACATAGAGATTGATGAGAAAATTAACCATCCCAAAATTGCAACACTATAAGTTCCAATTCTGTAACAATGCTGAAACATAGCAAAAGCTGATCACATAACCAATTTTTCCAAAAAATAATTTTTGTATTAATGTTAAATTTATTCATCAAAAATACTATGTGTACATTATACGCAACCTTGTTCTTAGAGATTAAACCATAATTAATTTAGAAGATAGATAATGCTTGAACCAAATTTGAAAAATAAAACCCATCACTAGATTGTAGGACTTAACATAGAATATGTTAAGTCCAAAAACACTACCTAATACTTGTAAAGCAATTAACATAGAATATGTAATGAAATACAAGAATACCAAAAATATGATTGAAGAACGGAGATTGACGGTGATTGAAGAACTTTGATGATCTCTCCTCAACTCAAAAATCGTCACATAATGCAACTGTTTGATGATGATTAGAATCCCATGATAAAATTGTTTCTCTTTTGATTCGCAACACTCAAAGTCAAAAGCGGAACAACTTGTGTTGCACCTAAGAAAAAGTAAAAAAAAAAAAGAAGAGAGAAGAGAAGAATTTTGATGTTTATGATCGATGAAGAGAAGGAGGAGACAATGACTTGACTAATATAGCCCAAGCTTAACGTCTATGTATTCATGAGGAGATCTCACCTTAAATAATATAGCCCAAGCTTAACGTCTATGTATTCATGAGGAGATCTCACCTTAAATGAAAAACTTATGAGAATTTGATTCTCACGACAAAGTCAAAAACGATTTTGACCTTAATTGTCATAACTGATTTTGTGTTGTTACAAAACTCAATCATTAAGGTAAATATTTTTGATTTAATGATTAATTTAAATCAAAATAAATTTGTGAAAATAAAATAAATATATGGGTTGTAAGCCCATTTCCAAAATCTTAAATCTCAAATCCAACCCATATACAGTATGTTTAGATTTCTCCTACAATTTCCAATTTAAGTATACAATTTGAATTTAAGTCAAAATTCTAAACTAGCTATTTTGGACATTTATTTTTCATTCAAATAAACTCCGTTTTTAAACTTTCCAATACACCATCACGTAGTGCTCGCAACAACCATTCCATCGTGCCCAAAAACCAGTCATTCATTCTGATGAATGTCTTCACCATAAAAGTGGTCACAACCACTTCATCAAAAACAAGTTCAAATAGATTCTTCTCTTTGCAAACCACTCGCTCAAAGCTTCCTGCATTTTGCCATTGCTCTATTTCGAGTCAGTGGACATGCGATTCCGGATTGTGCAATCAACTTGTTTATTTATGTTTGCTGCAGACATGGGCTGTTCGCCGTGTTGTTGACGGTTCCTTTATCTCCATGTTGAATAGATGGAGGCTTGAAACACGTACCTAAGGATAAACTGATGAGTTCTGCTGAAATTTGTACTGGAAATCAACTAATCAAAGATGGAACGTCCTGAAACTGTGCTCCATGTCTCTGTTGAGTGATGTCGTGGGTGAGTTTTAACCAAATAGGATCTTAAGCTCTTGAACAATTCTCAAATATAAAGTGGGAAAGCTTTTACCCCAAGAACAAGGTTTATCATCAAAAGATTCTTCAAGTCACAATCTCAATGGAGAAAATATATTTCACTTTAGATGTGTTGAACCTTAGATGTTCTTGCCAAATCTAAAAGAAACAGCAATATTAAATAAACAGTTATGAAGATAATTATACCTATGTTGTTGGAAATGAGGAAGAACAGCTTCGGACTTGTTGTGTGATTTTGTTTCTAACTCTTCTTCTTTGTCAAATCTCTAAACGAAGAATTAACAATTCTTATTTTTTTGGCTCTTTATTTATTTTGCATTCAACGTTAAGATTAAAAAAAAAAAAATCTTCAAGTGATAAAATTTATAAACCTTAACCATTGAATGATAAACATGTGGTGCACATTGGCTTTTTACCATGGCTTTGTATTGCCAGTCATGTTTTTACCAATTATCACCATTGTATTCAGTAAAAAATAATTCCTCTAATTTGTTTTGAGAGATGTAAAGTATTAAGTAGAGAGAAATCGTGTTCTAACTCCAATTTAAAACGGTAACGTTTCCTTTCTATCTTCTCTACAGCAATATATTTAACCATGACTGCTTATAAGAATCGACAGTTTCTTGCTCACCAAGATATAGGTTTTCAAATTAAGATAACAAACCAAGCAGAATTCACAAAACCAAGCCCTTTTTAGTGACATTAACTTGTTCCGAAGGGCCTGTTCGTCTGTTAATCAGCTGCGACATGGACTACAGGAAAGACAAAAAATATTACGGAGATACAACACCAGTCGCTGAATATGGAACTCGGCAACTCGCGACGTCACTAGTGAAGATGTTGAGCGGCTGTTATTTTTGGCTGACACAGTGTATGCCTTTATACGTTGCTGTTTTTTTTTTTGTCGCTGGATCTATTTGTAGGTTTTTGTTTCCTTATAAGTTTTTTTATAAAGGATTTTCTTCCTTTTAGGTCTGTTGAAACTGTAGAACCTTATTTACAGATTTTGTCTCTTTTATTATTCAGCAGCTTTTGATTTAATAAAAACAAGATTTTTTTTAAAAGAGAGTATTTGTTCAAAGTATCGAAACGTTTACATGAAAAGAAAAAGAGAGAGATATAGAAACCCCACGCACCAAGTAAAAATGATTCATTTCTACAAATGAGATTTTGTATATGGACGTAATTTGAAATTGGGCACGGAGTGGTTGGATAGAAGGGAAAACATAACTGGCAAATATAAAATATTATAACTTTTAACCAAATTCAAGATAAGGAGTAGTCTTATGAGTTGTATACAAACCTTTTAACCAAACGTTGCACTTGATGTAAAAACGTTTTTTCGAAGAAATTTTGACATTTTATTCAAAAAAAATATATATATTATAACTTTTAACAGAAAGGTCATATTTGTGTACTAATTGTAAAAAAGTATAAGCGGAAGAAAGAATAGAGAATTAAAAAATAGTAAATAAAAACAATCAATATATTTCATTGTTTTTACACTGTACAAAAGACATACAAAGTATGAGAAAAAGAAAGAAACTAGCTAGCTGTTAAAACAAAGACTGCATGAAGGAAAGAGAAAATACCATCATGCATGAAGGAGAGAGAAGTCACAACAATGATTAATTGTAAGTTAAGAGCAACAGCAATGGTAAGGATCTCCTAAGGATCCTTAAGAATTTTTTAATTGTAAATTTTGACAAATATAAAGTTAAGGATTTGCTAAGGGACTCTTAGAAATATTCATGTCCAATGGTAGGAATCCTTAAGGGATCCTTAAGAAAGAAAAATTTGAAAATAAAATTTAGTGTTTGAGTTTTGATTGCTTGAAAAAAAAAGATAGAGAAGACAAGTTTTTGATACATTTTTGATAAACACATTTTGAATAACAAAGATTCATGACAATAATATTACAAAGCATACAAGATTCATTGGAAAACACATCAAAGATAAAAACTATACAAGAAAGAACATCACAACATTTAAAGAATATATAGACAAGCAAGAAACTTACACGAATCAATACAGTGGTGCTTGGTAGACAAATCGTTCTGAACACAGAAAGCCACTGATTTCCAAATGAATCTATATAGTTAGATTTATTCTCTTCCCATGGAGAGCTAGCAGATGCAACAAAAGCCATCAAATCAGCAACCTAATTATTAACCAGTAAGAAATAAATCAGTTAACACCTGTTACAAACTCTGCTCACTGAAAGAACCAACAAATGTAAACAATAATTCACATGCCTTGACCATTTCCATGCATGTCAAAAGATCCCCATGAGGTGCCTTTAACACCTATAATAAATTCACAACATTGATCACACTAAGGATCCGACTTATCAACTAATCTAAGTTCCACCATATATCATAAGGGAATACACATACATTTGCTTTAAGCTTATACTCAGAAGATGCAACTGTCGAAGAAGAAACGACTCCAGAACCATCAGAAGATAATAGCTTTAAGATATCTTGATTAAATGAATTCAATTCCACAGACTTTAGTTAAGATGGCATTGTAAGAAAATTGGCTTATTTTATATTCATTGCCAAACTTTAGTTAAGAAGTTCTTCATCTTATTCTTCTCTCAAAATAAAACTTTCTTTTTTTCGGTTTCAATAAAGAGATGAAAATAAGGCAACCAGAGAAAAGTACTGATTAACACGGACAAAAGGATGATTAATATCAGAAGGGTTTAATTAGGGATTAAAGCAAGAATACCTCTCTAGGCATGAGTGTCTTGGGAATAACTCTGTGGCCAAATAACACCAAAGATGAGAAAAAAGAGAGACTTATTAAGATATGTGAGTAAGCAAGTATGACACTTAAATGGTGAATAGATGAAGAGTTACCCAATAACATGGCGACCACTATCATGAACAGCTTGTGAAACCAAACCCATCAAACCTATGCTTCCACCTCCATAGACTAGATCAATGTTCCTTAAAACCTGTAATAGTAAACGAAAAACAGAGTAAACCATCTTCTCATTACAAATAGTTTCATAAATGAGCTAAGAAGAGAAATCAAGCTAAGAGCACAAGCTAAGAAAAATTCTAAACTTTTTCCCCGAAAGAAAACAAAAACAGTAGCTTTGGATTTGTTAATGAAATCTCTCAATTGGGTTCGCTTCCTTAAAGAACATACAATAACAAATAAAACAGAGAGATTCGTACCGTGAGGAAGCGATTGGAGCCACTGGAATCGCCTTTCTCTCCGATTTGATTTGCAGAACCCACTGATGTCGGCTCGACGAACTACTGTTGGTGACCACGCCGACGGTGGAGATGAGCATCACGGCTTATTGTTGACAAAGGCTTCACCTTTTACTTCCGATTTGATGATGTATATCGCCGGAATTGAAGCTCAAAGAGATTCGCCGTCGGAGAAAACAAAGAGTTGAGAGAGACAGTCGAGAAAACTGAAACGCGAAAGAATTTTTTTTTTTTTTTTCTCACTTTTCTTCCCAATGAAATGACGCCACGTAGCGCCTCTTACAGCAACAAAAAAACCTTAAATTAGGAACGGACCTTGGCTTTTATTTATGTTTGGATTTATATTTGGGCCTTTTATTACAAGAAATTATGGATAGAGTCCTTTAAGATACTCTCATTGCTGTTGCTCTAATATATTTTAACATTCTCCCTTAAGATTGGCTGAGAGATGTTAATCAAGCCAAGTTTGCCATAAATAGAGTTATCTCGTTAAAAACTTTACCAGGATAATCTAATGGAAAAAACCATGGTAAAAGAAAAAAGAGTGCAACAATCATATTATCGGTTGGTGAAAATCAACTAGGCCAAGCTTGCCATGAATGAAGCTGCACACCTTTCAATCTGCAACTTTAGTGAAGATGTTCGCAAGCTGATTAGAACTTCTTGTGTAAGTAGGAATGATAACCCCAAGCTCGACTTTTTCACGGATATGATGACAATCCAATTCAATATGTTTGGTGCATTCATAGAAGACAGAGTTGGAGATTTTTTCCTCTTCTCCACATAAGAATGTTGTGCTGCTGCGGAAACTGATAATGTGGTTATGGAGGAGTGATGCAGCAACATCTTGAAGAGAGAGAGGCGCCAAAAGCAAACGGCTACTTGGAGGTTTTGGTGTTTTGTTTTATTTTAAAATTGGATTTTGTTTTGCATTTTGTGGAATTCCAAAGTCTTAAAGGATTCACTTTGTTGTTTTGTCATCATGTATTGAGTTTTAATAAAAGAGAGTTTATCCTCCCAAACAAGAAGCTGGTCCCTATTGTTTCACTTGAAACAAACAGATTGAGGTGAATTCCGGGTTTAACACGGTGCCAAGAAGGAACCTAATGTGGTGGTTATGAGTGTCTTAGATGCTGCGGATTTCTACAGTTTTTCCAAGGATTGAACCGAAGTTTCGTTTGGACAACACATTTCCATAGTAAAATTTTGATGGTAACACTGTTTTCTCTATATGGGCTGCTTATGATAGTGACGGAATGTCCCGGTATATGCACTAGTCCACATATAATGTTGTCTCTCAAGAACCGTACGAACTGCATATTTCTTGGCTTAATAGCAAAAATAATGAAGAACTGGGTCAAACGAAGTGGATTGTTGTAGGGTTTTACTAGACTAGTAGAGTGGACAAAGTGTGTCTTTTTCAAATCATTAATAGAATACACAAGTTTTTAACTAAAGATATTCGAAAATAATTTTTAGAGCAAATTTTTTTTTTGTCAAAAAAAAAAAAAACTTTTTCAATTTATAGAGAAAAATAATATACCTTTTGTATTTCCTTTATTTCCCTTTTTATAAGAATATTCAATGGTAAAAAATATTTCCTCTTAATTGGTATTTGAGAAAAGATCACATGCTTCTTATCCCACTATATCTTATCTACGCTTAAGATTTTCCTTTATATATGAGAACCACCACATAAAAAAAATCTCACACCCAGAACCCAAAGCCCTAGAGACTTCAAACAAAACAAAACAAAAATGGAGAACAACAACCACCAGCAGCCACCCCAACCCCAAGACAACGAGCAGCTAAAGAGTTTCTGGTCAAAGGAGATGGAAGGTGACTTGGATTTAAAGAATCACGAGTTTCCCTTATCTCGTATCAAGAGGATTATGAAGTTTGATCCTGATGTGAATATGATCGCTGCGGAGGCACCAATCCTGTTTTCCAAAGCCTGCGAGATGTTTATCATGGATGTCACGATGCGTTCGTGGCTCCATGCTCAGGAGAGAAAACGACTCACGATAAAGAAATCTGATGTCGCTGCCGCAGTGGATCGAACCCTCATCTTTGATTTCTTGCTTGATGTTGTCAATGAGGAAGAGGGAGAGTCCTTTCCTGCCGCTGCTGATCCCGTGGCCGTGCCATGTCTTGACGATGGAGAACTGCCCCAGGGAATGGTGATAGGAACTCCGGTTTGTTGCGGTCTCCCAGCTTGGACCGCGGCGCCTGGTGAGGAGGAGGATGCAGATGGGGAAAATGGAGGAGACAGCGGAAATTAATATATGGATTGTGTTTTAGGGTTTGTAACCGCTGTTGTGAGAATCTGAGTTATGTTTGTTTTTATTAAATGTTGTTTTTGTTGTTGCTAATGTTATGTACTTTGTTGTTGTCAATGTTTTGTCTTTCAAGTGAATCTAATGGTTTATGAATATTTGCTCCAGATTAATTTATGCATACGAAAACACATGATTACGAATTAAAAGTCTTTAATTTACCCATAGAAACGTTATCTTTTAGTGAGAGTAGAAAAGAATTAAATAATCTTCTTAAGAGATAAGGGTACTGTGATTCTGTGAACGGCTGAAGGTAAGATGTTTATTCGACTAACTATGTTTCTATCACATTCTAGAGGCAACAATATCCAGAGATCTAGCAAAAAACCTTATTTTAGAACCTAAATCTGTTTGAAAAGTTTTCTAGCTTTTTTTTTTTTTTCCTTTTGGTAAGCATTAAGCTTAGTTATCCAACGGGATTTGGCGCGCAAACGATCTATTTGAGTTTAGTCTTTTAACACATTTTGGCGCGCTTTTAATGAACTTTTACGAGCAAGCCATTAGTCAATTATATCATGATTTATTGCAGTTTTCTGAATATGGCATTTGGATCTCATTCACAAGCTTTTCGGATTTGGACTTTCAACCATTTTTGGCATTTCTATGTTATGACACCTTTGTGTTTGCAATATCTGTTAGAATAAATTTTAGAGCTGCCATGATGAGATCTTAGGATCTAGGCAAAGATCTTTTTGAAACCCAAATCTGTTTTCATAAGTTTTTCCTTCTTACTTATCAAAGATCCAATTGATTTTATTTTGCCATTATCTTTAAAGCGAAAACTCTATACTGATTTGAATTGGGCACAACTTTAGCGTGCAAATTAAACAGTCAATTCTTATTGCAACTTTTTTAGATTTAGCATGAGTATAATTGTTCAGGTAGCTAGTTATTTATTTTTAGATGTGAACATCTAAGGTTGATTTAGAGCTTAAGTGGAAACATATTCTTTAGAAGAACAATATCTTTGGATCTTAAAATTTTGAGCTTATTGGAGATATATGGACCGGTTTACAGTTGGTTATTTCCGGTTATTGATCTTGGTTTAATCTTATGTATATAAGCTTAATGACGTTGTTATTAGAGTGGTTAAGTTGTTGTAAACAGAGTTTTGAGGTTGAATAAAAGTTTGTTACAGCTTCTTCATTCTCTCTCTTTTCCGATGATAAACTTCCGATGTATCGGAGTTTATTATGGTATCAGAGCTAAAATCTGAAGTTTCCGCATTCATCTTCTTCATCGGAAGAGAGATTTTCTCGGTTTGATTTCTTTTGAATCTTTTGATTTCTTCATCATCGCTTTCTGCGATTTTCTTTTGTTTTTCTCAGTTCACCGGAATCTATTTCTCCGTTCTGTTTCTTTGATTTCTTTCGCTTGACCTCTAGTGTTGACGAATCTTTGCTTCTTTATCCAAATTCGTCTCACTTTCTTTGTAATTCCTTGTTCTTAAACTGAGAATGGGAACTTATGTACCTCCATCTACGATTCCGGTGGCTCGTTCTCCGATTAACGCCGGTGAACAGTCTTCTTATCCAGTTAATCAATACGAGAATCCATATTATCTACATAGTACGGATCATGCTGGACTTATTCTTGTTTCGGATCGTTTAACGACTGCTTCTGATTTTCATTCTTGGCGTCGCTCGATCTTAATGGCTTTGAATATCAGAAACAAATTGGGCTTCATTAATGGTAAGATTTCGAAACCACCTGAAGATCATCGTGATTTTGGTGCTTGGTCTAGATGCAATGACATTGTTAGTACTTGGTTGATGAATTCTGTTGACAAGAAAATTGGTCAGAGTCTACTATTCATTTCCACGGCTCAAGGTATATGGAACAATTTGTTGATGCGTTTTAAGCAAGATGATGCTCCACGCATTTTTGATATAGAGCAGAAACTTAGTAAGATAGAGCAGGGATCTATGGATGTCTCCACATATTATACTACTCTACTTACTCTTTGGGAAGAACATAGGAATTATGTAGAACTTCCAGTCTGTACTTGTGGTCATTGTGAATGTGATGCAGCTGCTAAATGGGAAAGTTTGCAACAGAGAAGCCGAGTTACAAAGTTCCTTATGGGACTGAATGAAAGTTTTGATCAGACTAGACGTCACATCTTGATGCTTAAACCTATTCCCACAATTGAGGAGGCTTTTAACATTGTTACTCAAGATGAACGCCAAAAGACTGTGAAACCAACTACTCGTGTTGATAATGTGGCTTTTCAGAGTGTTGCACCCATGATGAATGATGTTGATAATGCTTATGTTGCAGCTTACAACACTGTTAGACCATCTCAGAAACCAGTGTGTTCTCACTGTGGGAAAGTGGGACATACTATTCAGAAATGTTACAAAGTACATGGTTATCCACCTGGAATGAAGATAGCTGGTCAGGGTTATCCTTATAAGACTAATCCTCAGTTAATGGTACAGCCAAGGGGACCAATGATACAAAATCAGCCTCGGATGCAATTTCCATCTCAAATGATGCCATATGCAAACTCAATGCAGAAAGCTAATGCAGTGGCTCATGTCTATACAGAGAATGGTGCTTATCCGTCTGATGGCTATCCCTACAATACTATGATGATGAATCCGTATGGTACCCCTGGAACCAATGTATATCAGTTGCCATATGTTACACAAGGTGGAAATCATTCAAATCTTCAAGATTTTTCTCCTCAGCAAATAGAACAAATGATCTCACAGTTTCAAGCTCAAGTTCAAGTTCAAGAGCCTGCAGCTTCTTCAAGTAACCCTAGTCCAAATGCTACAATCTCTGAACATGGTTTAATGGCTCATACTTCTACTTCTGGTACTATAATCCCTTTTCCTTCTACCAGCCTTAAGTATGAGAATAATAATCTTCATATTTCTATGAATCCTGTCTTCCATGAACGTACCAAACACATAGAAATCGATTGTCACACGGTTCGTGATCAGATTAAAGCTGGAAATCTCAAGGCCTTACATGTTCCAACAGAGAATCAACACGCTGATATTCTCACTAAGGCTCTTCATCCAGGTCCATTCCATCATCTTCTACAGCAAATGTCTTTGTCAAGTCTCTACCTTCCAAACCAGACAGTTCGAAAGTAGAGACTTGAGGGGGGTATATTGGAGATATATGGACCGGTTTACAGTTGGTTATTTCTGGTTATTGATCTTGGTTTAATCTTATGTATATAAGCTTAATGACGTTGTTATTAGAGTGGTTAAGTTGTTGTAAACAGAGTTTTGAGGTTGAATAAAAGTTTGTTACAGCTTCTTCATTCTCTCTCTTTTCCGATGATAAACTTCCGATGTATCGGAGTTTATTAGAGCTTATTGTTTAACGAACATTAGTTAAACATTATCGAGCAAACCACACTTCAATCACCCAAATTAGTTCAAGAAAAAAAAAAAACAAGTTAAGGGAAGTTACCAACACAAAACTACTGGTTACAATGAATTCCTAACACAAAACTATAATGTGAATCCTAATTACAGTACAATTCATTCAAGTGTAACATAAAACTGAACGCCAGCCGTTAAAAACTGTAGTTACAAATTTAAAACCGAGCAGTATGGAAAGCATGTATGTTTTGAATGCTCAAGGGGAATCATCACTGAACATTATTAATATTTGTTGAATGCTCGAAGATATCACCAAGAACTAAGGTCCGACGAAATCAGTCACTGAACATTATATGCCTTGTTATTGTTACATCGTGATTGACTGCTACAAACATGGTCCAACAGAGAGGCAACAAATTCTCGTACTTGGCATCAAACTATACATTATGTACATTTAAGAATTACCGAGAAAAAAAAAACGAAACAAACTACAGCATAATAAAAATATTTTTTGACAAAATTTAAAGTATCAAACTGAAAATGAGGCTTTACAAAAAAACAAAAAAGGATTTTGTTTGTTTTCAGCAGAAAAATAATGAAGAAGAAAAATAATTCCAAGGTTCTCAAGAGCATGAAGTTCCCAGTATCCACTACGGTTCGTTTAGAGTAGAGATGTACTTTGGTTACCTTTTAAAGTCTTTCCTTGAAACAAAGGAGAAATAAAAACGCCAGTCAGAAAGAATTCAATTCTACAAACGCAAGTCAAAAAGGATTTTGTATATGGAAATAATTTAAAATCAGACCACCAGTGTTTTGACTGAAGGAAAAACATAACAGAGAAAATAAAATTGGTGAATATAGAAAGCAATGTAATATTTAACATAAAAAGTTCTATTCAAAGAAATCAATGTAAATATAGAAAGCAATGTAATGTTTATCATCCTATAAATTTTATCTCTTGAAGTGTTTACTTTCACGTGAAAGAAGAAGAAGAAGAAGAAGAAGATAAGAATTGTTCTTTGTACAGTAATCACCTACAAGTTTGAAGCTGTTCTTCCTCAACTCAAAGTAGAGGTATAGTTACAGAGTTAAACCTGTGTTATTGTATTATTTTGGGGGATTCTTGTCTGGATTTCGTTGGGATTTATATCAGATTTTAGGGCACATTTTTTTGGGTCTCTAGTCTATGCTTGGGGGAGAAGAAATGTTATCAATAAATAATAAGCTTGTCTTTAGATCACAAGTGTTTAGAACTATTTGTGTTCGTAAATGTTTGTTAGATTCCATTTTACAAGCAGCATGATTCTACTATCTAGCAAAATGTGTTTTTGAAGCAAAATCTGTTTTTCAACGGATTTCGCCGGTAAACTCTATTCTCAATTTTTTATGCAACGAACATAATTTCGCGGGCAAATTTCAGTTTGGATCTTTAAATTTATACGTAACAAGTTTTCGCGGGCAAACCATTTATTATTTTCGCAGTTTTTAAGAGTAATTATTTCTCTTAACAAGTTTGATGGATTCCTTATCTAGGAATTCAAGATCTAAGGGAACATATACTTTAGATGAGCAAATATATTTGGATCTTAAAATCTCAAGCTTGATATATAACGAACTTTGGCGCGAAAACTAACTATTCCAATGTCTTTCCATCAGTTTTGTTTTCATAGATGTGGAATTGTTATTTATCTAATTAGTTCCGGTTACTGGATAAAGTTGGTTTAATGGCTTCAAGACTAGGATATATTTGAATGATGAAAGCTATTCTTGGTGCAAGAGCTTTCCCACTTTCCACTTTCTGATGATCAATCTTTTTCTTTTGCAGGATCAAAACTAAGAGACATAAAAAGATCTTGTGTACTATTTTAACAAAGAGATGGACAACGACGCTGAGCTTAGGCCAAACATGCTTGGAAGTGCTGTTGTTGATAGAGCTCCAATTAAAATCAAACTGAGTCTTAAAAGGCCTCGCTCCTCTTCCCAGGACAAGAAAGTTGGCGATGCTGCTGCTGAAACAAACACACTTCAAGACTCAAAGAAATGTGATGCAGCGAAAAGAGTAAAGATTGATGAAAGCAAGAACACTACTAATATGGTTAATGAGGATGAATATAATATGGTGGTTATGAGTGTTCCAGATGCTGATTTCTACGACTTCGACAAGGATCGGATTCAATCTTCGTTTGGAGAAAACCAGGTTTGGGCTGCTTATGATGATTACGGAATGCCTCGATGGTATGCACTGGTCCATAGGGTTGTCTCTCAAGAACCGTTCAAGCTGTGTGTTTCTTGGCTTAATGGCAAGAAAAATGGATATGTGGGTTCAATGAAGAGGTGGATTGATTCAGGGTATTATAAGACTAGTGGATGCTTCTCAATCGGGAAATATAGCAGCAACGACTCTCTCAACTCCTTCTCACATAGAGTCCAATGGACAATATGTGAGAAAGGATTGGTGCACATATATCCGAGAAAAGGCAATGTATGGGCTCTTTATGAAAATTGGTCACCATCTTGGGATTTTTCAACTTCAGTAGAAGAAATGAACAAGTATGAAATGGTAGAAGTCCTTCAAGATTTCGACGAAGAGAACGGTGTGAAGGTTGTGCCTCTTGTTAAACTCTCGGGATTTAAAACTTTATTCCGTCGCCATCCAAGTCAGAGGACATACCCAAGGAAAGAACTATTCAGGTTCTCGCATCAAGTTGCTTATCAGTTGCTTACAGGTGAAGAAGGTGAGAATGCTCCTGACGGTTGCTTGGAGCTTGATCCAGCAGCTTTGACACCGGAGCTTCTCAAGGTTCTCACTGAGGAGGAGATGAGAGAAGTGGAGAATGCAGTCGATAAACCAAATGAGGAAGCAGATGAGGTTAGTGGAAACTATTAACAATGTTAAAATTAATTATGAAGCAAATAGGAAGCTTGAAATGGAAAGTAACAACGAGGTTTGTGTGCAGGTTTACAAGAGGACATAAGAGGATAATAAAGATGGTACTGGAGATCTATTTTGCAAGAAACCCTTTTTTTTTTTTTTGCCTTTTGCTTTATTTTAATTTCATTCAAAAAACTTCAGTGAAGCTGATTAGTTCAGTATCAATATGTACTGATTCAGTGACTTTATCTTTACATTTTATTTTGTTTTTGAAAGTTGTTGGATGCTCCTAGAATAATGATTGTATCTTGATGCTGGGTTTTCTTATTGGAATGAGACTTTGATTATATGTTATATTCAAAAGAAATCATGGAAAGAAGCCAAAAGAAAATTTCATAGTGATCCCCTCAGAATGTTGTGTGTATCAGTCTCATACTCAACTCACATAGTAAGGACTAAGGAGATAAAGTCATTGAAAGAAACTTTTACACCTTTGACAAAAACCCCATTCAAGATAACCCTTAAACTTTTTCAGATTGCACATTTTATTCGTTTTCTAACATCTCCTAGCTTGTAGAACAATAGTGAGCCAGAGACTAAGGTTCCTCCATATATATATCCCTGCTTGAGACCGGCCAGTGACCTTCATATCTCTTGTAATTATAATTTCTCAATGACATAAGGATACTTTCCATGTGATTTGCAATGAGATTCCTCCTTAATTAAACAGAGAGAAGTCATGTTCCATGTCGACGCTTATCATTTCCATCTCCACTCAAAAACTGTTTCATTTCTCCTTGAAGTATAGTTTTAATTTTTATAATCCAAAAGGTATTAGCTAACAAAAAAAACGAAAGTAAAATGATTAATTTATTTTACTGGATATTATTTAATGTCAACAAAATAATATTAACATTTTATTAAAGCAAAAAAAATTGAAAAAAAAAAATCCTTTGTTTTTAGGTATTACAATTAAAATTTGAGAAATTCTAGGTTAAAAATTTTGTTATTTAGTCAATTCAAACTTTTGGCACTTTATTTATTTTGTTAATAAGTGATTTTGGCATGTTATTGCTCTAAATAAATTGTTTTGGCATGTTATTTATTTGTGCTAATACGTTACTCCATTTGCTCCTAATTAATCCAAGTTTTAGAAAACAAAATTGTTTTAAAAATATACATTTTTAGGTTTTCAAAGCATTTTTGTTAGTTACTAATGTTGAATATAAACTTCAAAAAAATTAATTAAATATTGTTAGTTAAGAGTAATAGAAAATTTTTAATTGCAAAAAGTTATATATTTATATTTAATTTTTAATATGTGTGAAAGATTTTTAAAATTGGATTCATTAAAAACAGAGGGAGTGGTTTTTTACTTATTTTTAGTATATAATAAGAAACAAGAATACAATTCCAAAACAAATATGAAAATGGAATACACTATTTATTTAAGCAATGTTTATAAACCCGATCCACAAGGCAAACCGGACTACTTTCTGGGTCATCGGATCATCGGGTCAACCGGGTTCAACTGCAAATTTGTTTAATGTATTCATAGAGATTACATAGTTTTATAATTGTAAAAATAAAAATAATCATATAATGTTTAAAAAATATGAAGTCTAACAATAACAGTAAAATCATTAATCTATTTTAAAATCTAAAGTAAACCGAAAAAATACTAAAATAGTAGGAGATCACTAATGACAAAAAAAATAAACTAAAAAGATAAAACTCAAAGGAGACTAGACATGCCAGAGAACACAAGAGAGGTGAGTTGAGTCGTATTTCGACGCTTAAAAAAAAATAAAAGGTTCTAAACGTAACTTAATATATTAAAATCCTACATTTTATTTCCAAAATCAAATGAATTCTCATGAACCATTACACAGTTGGTTCAACCGGTTCACTAGATCGTAGGTTAAAGACAATCTATATGGGGTTTTCTTTTTTTTGCCGGATATTAGCACTAAACCGTAACTAGAGAAGTGATTGAATTGCAGGTTAAACAGTCGGACCGGACGGTCCAGATTAGGTATAAATAATGTTTTTATAGTATCGAACTAGGATTTAATTCATGGTATACCGCTTGACAAGTTTTGTTTCATACAATTTTAATTAAATCAGTTTAATTCGATATGTCTAATAATATAGGTAGTTTTAAAAAAAAATCAAACGAAGATTTCATTCGTATTGAAGCGTCGGGTCAATAATATTTTAAATATTAATGTCAATTCAAACCCGTCCCGCCATATATCCCGTCCCGCAATATCACTTATTTTAAACTGTTATATGTTTATCTTCAGAATAATATAAATTCTTTTTCATTTATTGAGTAATATATGTCCGTCTTTTAAATTTGAATCACAATATATGCAGAAAACAATTTACATTTTTTTTTAACTTTATGTATCAAGTGATGATTCAAAAAAATTGAAAAAAAATCAAACAAAGATGATAGAAAAATTCTATTTTAAAATCTTAACAGATCTTCTAAATACTAATATTAGTAACTGGGGAATATTATATAGATATTTTTAATTTTATAATTAATTTTAAAATCTTTTAAAGGTGTTTGGTTATGTGGATAATAGATAATTAATTGTTTGGATACATAGATATAAAATAATGAGTAAATTTGGAAAAATACCCTCTTTTTGTTTTCACTTTTGAAAAATACCCTCTCTTTGTTTTTCTTTTAAAATTTTTTTTTAAATATATAAAATTACTAAAAAAATCTTATTGAATCTTAATAATAATTAAGCAAAAGGATCTATATTTTTTAATATGAAATCAATTAATTGGTAATAACTAAATATCTAAACAAAGTTGTCCGTTGACCAAATCATGTTCGTTTTTCACCATAGATGTTGTTTTGTAACTTTGCATGTTATCTAACTAATAGTTCCAAAGATTCATTATCCTAAATATTTTTTCAGAACAATAATGAATAATAGCATTCTACCAATGTTAAGTCATGATTTTTTGTTAAGTCATATGGTGCAGATTTTAATGATTCATTATTATTGAAAACAAATAAAATAGTTTACTTTGCAAAAAAAAAAAATCAAAGAGAATCGTTTAATTGAAGCAAACTTTGGTAGTATGTTGAGTTAAAAAATATGTTTGCTACGTTGGAGATTTTTTTTATATAATATGATAGATATTAAGCGATAGACTTTATTATATTTTAAAATATAATCTTGTTAAAATTTAATATATAAAATAAATAAACTACTTTTGTGTAAAATAAATATATATATAACCATGATTAATATTATTTCGAATTTAGTATATATTTTTTTCTCTGAATTTTGAATTTTATTTATTTATTAAAAATATAGCTTTAAATTTAAATTTGAAAAAATTATCATTTTATATATAATTGTAGTTTTTATTTTAAAAATATAGAAAAAGGTTATATTTCAAAGTATAACTTAAAAACAGGGTAATTTTCAAAATCACCCTTAATTATATTTTAAAATATAATCTTGTTAAAATTTAATATATAAAATAAATAAACTACTTTTGTGTAAAATAAATATATATATAACCATGATTAATATTATTTCGAATTTAGTATATATTTTTTTCTCTGAATTTTGAATTTTATTTATTTATTAAAAATATAGCTTTAAATTTAAATTTGAAAAAATTATCATTTTATATATAATTGTAGTTTTTGTTTTAAAAATATAGAAAAAGGTTATATTTCAAAGTATAACTTAAAAACAGGGTAATTTTCAAAATCACCCTAAAATAATAGCATTTTTGTAAATACTTACTAAAATAAAGGTTAGATGTACTTAAAAAATACTAGCATAGATATCATCAACATAATAAAAAATATTCTTTATAAAAAACAATTATGAGAAAATAAGTAGATTAAATTATTATATTTCACAATCACATATTACAAAAATAAATATTACTTTTATGGGTGGCTACACTAAAAGATTTATTTCCTTGTATTATTAAACATGTAGAATAAAAATATTGAATTTGTGAATTTGTGGATTGAAAACGGTGTAAAATTCCATATGTGTAGCACTATACAAATAGAAAAAAAATAAATGTGTGGAATCTTTGGAAAAAAAATGTGGACTTTCATTTTCGTGTCACACTATACGAAAATAAATCTTAGCAAAATCTTACCTTTTAATTTTATAGGAAAGCAAATTTCTCACCTTAATTTGGGTAGTAAACAAAAAAAAAACTTTCACTAACCAGTCACACACCTAAATCATAATATTAAATACGTCTAATGAAAAAAAATAAAAAATAAAAATTGTAAAGATTCACATTTGAGATATATTGACTACTTTAAAGCCCATCTACGCTTTTAGGTTTCCTTTAAATATATGCCAACCCTCCGATAAAAATCTCACTTCCAACCTCCAAATCCCTAGAAGTTGTGAAAAATGGAGAACAACAACAACAACGGCGACAACATGAACGACGGCAACCACCAGCCACCACCGTCGTACTCACAGCTACCGCCGATGGCATCATCCAACCCTCAGTTACGTAATTACTGGATCGAGCAAATGGAAACCGTCTCTGATTTCAAAAACCGTCAGCTTCCATTGACTCGAATAAAAAAGATAATGAAGGCTGATCCTGATGTCCACATGGTCTCCGCGGAGGCTCCGATCCTCTTCGCAAAGGCATGCGAAATGTTCATCGTTGATCTAACCATGCGGTCATGGCTCAATGCCGAGGAGAACAAACGCCACACGCTTCAGAAATCGGATATCTCTAATGCAGTGGCTAGCTCTTTCACTTATGATTTCCTTCTTGATGTTGTCCCCAAGGACGATGGAATCGCCACGGCTGATCCTGGCTTTGTGGCTATGCCACATCCTGACGGTGGAGGAGTACCTCAATATTATTATCCACCGGGAGTGGTGATGGGGACTCCGGTTGCTGGTAGTGGAATGTACGCGCCACCGCAGGCGTGGCCGGCAGCGGCTGGTGACGGGGAGGATGAGGGTGCGGATAATGAAGGAAACGGCGGCGGAAATTGAAGTGTTGATTTAGGGTTTGTAACCGACAATATGGGAATTTGAAATTTCGTGGAGTTTATTAGTTTTTTTTTTTTTTTAATTCGTCGGATTCGCTTTCATGTTAATATGGTTTGGAAATGGTGAACAATGTGTGGAAGGCGAAATGCTATTTTTTATAGACTTGTAACCGCTTTTGTGAGAATTTGATTTTCTTTTGGAGTCTTTAGTCTCTTACAAAACCAAAACATTTCATTTTATATGATATTTACATTTTGCTAGTAGCCCATAATCTAGCAAAATTTGGTTGTATTTTCCATGATTTCTAGTCTGATTCACAAAATCTCCTGGCTTGGATGAGTGAACAGCTTTGTATTGACTATTTTTCAGATAAATAAAGATCACCTTTGACGGAAGAGAAAAGAGAGACCATTTGAATATAGGAAACAATGTAAGAAGCCAAAGAAGCAAAAACTTTTACTATCATCACAAGCTCTATGCAATATGCATAAATGTCTTCAACAACTCCAATAGGAGTCAACATTAATCTTGATTGATTATCTTATCGAACTAATTAACTTTCGCACCAAATGTTCGATTTGCCCCGATTAGTTGGTTTAGGTAAACAGGTCCGGCCCTAGATTAAAGCCCACAAAACAAAGATTTTAGACAAATGAACTCTATAAATTAATATAAGGGCATTAGTTAAAAAAAAGCTGTTGTGATCAACTGGTAAAGTCCATGAATTTCTACTTTTAGATGGCGATTTCGATCCTTAATTACTTAATTCTTGGTAACAAAAATTGCAACTGTTTTTCAAACATTAAATTTCTTTTTTTTTTTCTTTAGCCAGCACATTATGTTGGGCCGGCCTAACAAATAGTAGTTATTTTTTTTAAGATCGAAACTTGTGGTAAATTGGTAAAGTACATGAATATTCATTGTGAATTCAAATCTTAATTACTTATCTTTTGGTAAAAAGTTCAAGTGTTTAATTTTATAAAGATTAGAATTTTTTTTTCATTAGCCAGCAAATTATGTTGGGCCGGCCCAACAGATAGTAGTAATTTATATTAGAAAAATACTTCGGTTCACCCCTAAGGGTGAATCCTTATATTCACTACATTTATTTCAGTCAATCAGAATCTGCCACATAATAATAATCAAAAAATTATTTAATTATATAATCTAATTTGCCACTAAAACAAAATTATGTATCGGTTTGGGTTTATTAAAAAAGGTTAGGGTTTATATTTTATGATTAAACGAGGTCAAATATCGGTTTGGGTTTATAAACGGATTTAGATTTAATAATTAAATGAAGTTAAATGTCAGTTTGGGTTTAGATAGGTACGATTAGGGTTTAGATTTTATGATTAAAAGAGGTTAAATATCGATTTGGGTTTATAAACAGATTTAGATTTTACAATTAAACGAAGTTAAATATCGGTTTGGGTTTAGAAAGTACGATTAGAGTTTAGATTTTTTTCGATTAAACAAGTTTAACCGGCGATTTGAATTTACAAAAGAGAATTAGGATTTAAATTTTGTAATTAAACGAGATTATATATCGGTTTGGGTTTATAAAAGGGTGGTTAGAGATTATATATAATAATTAAATAATTTTTTTTATTATGTGGCGAATTCTGATTGGTTAAAATAAATGGAACTGGATAAAAGGATTCACCTCTAGGGGTGAACCCAAGTATATATTGCTGTTTATATTAAGATGAAAATCTAAAGTTGAAGTTGATCTTACGGAAAAGATATTCTTTCAACGAACAATATCTTTGGAGCTTTAAATTCTAAAGTGATGATATTTAACGAACTTTGGCGCGAAAACCATCTATTCAAATATATCTTTCCACCATTGGTGATCATAAATTTGAAATTGCTATTGCATATTGAGATATCTTTGAATAATGAAACATGTTCATTTCCTACATTAAATTAATGCTTCAGAATATAATCAGTCTGATCACGCACCATACGAATCGACATATTTGCATCTTCTTTTACATGATAGTTTATGTATCAAGCGCCACCACTCTTTGAAATGCTGAAAAGATTCGCAATCTCCCGAGAATGATAACGTAAAGAAGCAGGCCAAGCATTGTGTTTCAAACACAGCTAGCATCGATCATATCTTTTCCATTCCAAGCAAAAAAAATCACCTTCTCTATGTGGAGACTCCACTTACTTTGGATTGTGCATTGGAAACTTCTCAGTTTAGCATCAGCCCAACTAAACACTTGGCTAAAAGCCCGACGACTGTAAGAGATAACCACTCCAAGGCACCAAAATTGAAGTTTTTAAATTTATAAAATCAAAAAAGTATTGACAAAAGTGTATAATGAATAAAAAGTGAGGTTTTATATTTTGGGATTTTACATATTAGTAATACTGTATAACACAAAACAATTAATAAGAGTGAAATTTTATATTTGAGAAAATAATTGGGCTGATTTCGTAGCCCACTCAATCACCAACTACGCTTTAGTCCCTTTATATATGGAAACCCTAGCCTAGAAAGTGAACAAGAAAAACGTAAAGGTCAAAATGGAAGAAAACAACGGCACCAACCACCACCAGTGGCCGCAACAATCGTCTTCGCAACAGCTGCCGCCACCATCCTATTCGCAACCACTGCCGTCGCCGTTGTATTCACTGCCGCCGCCGTACTCACTGCAGACACAGACACAGAATTATTGGATTGAGCGGACGGGAAACGCCTCTGATGTTAAACATAATGAGTTTCCACTAGCGAGGATCAAAAAGATTATGAAGTCCGACGCGAACGTGCAAAAGGTCACTGCGGAAGCTCCCATCCTAATATCGAAGGCCTGTGAGATGCTCATTCTTGATCTCACAATGCAATCTTGGCTTCATACCGTGGAGGGCAGACGCGAAACGCTCAAGAGATCCGATATCTCCGCCGCAGTGACTCGTGATTTGAAATTTACCTTCCTTGGCGACGTTGTCCCAAGAGACCCGTCCGTCGTTACTGCTTATCCCGTGCCCAAGCCGCATCCTGAGGGTGAAGTACTTCCGCCGGGAATGGTGATAGGACATCCGGTGTTTGGTTGTAATTGTACGTACGCGCCACCGCCGCAGATGCAGGAGTGGCCGGCGGTGCCTGATGACGGAGAGGAGGCAGCTGAGGAAATTGGAGGAAGCAGCGGCGGGAATTGAAAAGTGTTGGGTTTTAGGGTTGTAATGCTTTTGTGAGAATTTGTATCTCTATTGACTCATGTTCTTGTTGTTATATATGTTTTGTTTTCGTTTATGTCATGTGTTTTGTTGTTGTTGATGTTATGTTTAGTCTTTCATGTGTTTATTGATGAAATAAATGTATGGAAGACAATGGAATTTTAGTTAATTCTTTTTTTTTTTTTTGCTTTAGATTAGATTATGCCAAGGAATCACCAAAATTTTTTTGAAACCGAATTTTCCAGCATTTGATTTTAAAATGGATTTTCGTGCGAAAATTCTATTCCGATTTGATTACGGAACGGAATTTAGCGTCCAAACCACTGATATTTTATTAAAGTTTTCTAAATTTGGCATGAGTTGTTTTTCACATCTTTTTTTCAAGATAAGAACAACATCTAATGTGTAAATAGATCTTACGAGAAACATATTATTTAGAAGAAATCCTTGGATCTTTCAATTGTAACCTTGATATTCAACAAAGTTTGGCGCGCAAACCATATATTCAAAAATGTGGATGGCTTGATAAGCTGTTTTGAGAAGAAACTCAATGGTGAAGTAGATTGGTATGCTGTTTTGATAATAACACATTGACACTCATTCTCTATTTTTGAAAATCAAATACATCATCACTTAATAATGTCTATTATATTTACAAATTACAAGAAATAGATTTAGCCTGCGTTAGTGTTCAACGCGTTTAAATTATTTCATCCGTTAAGCTAATTCCGTTTAGAACTCTCAAATGGTCACATTACATAGTTAACTTTATCCCCTTGAAAATCGTTGTGGGTAACAAGTGTGAGACATGACTGGTTCTTAAAACAAACATTGATCGTAACGACAATTAGGAGCCAAATAATAAAACCAAATATTTCCACTTCGTAATCTTATAGATAGAAAAAAATCTTAGACTTTTTACTTTTTTAGAAGCAATAAATCTTTCTTCTTATTAAAAAGAGAGTGTAGATAGAAAAAAATCTTAGACTATTTACTTTTTTAGAAGCAATAAATCTTTCTTTTTATAAAAAGGGTCCTCACTCTGTCCATTTGGTTTCATTTTCTTTTTACTTAAATGGCTACAGTAAAGAGTAACCAAAAACCGTAAAAAAAAATTTCTAAACACCACTATAATTAACGTTAATTTAGAGACAAAGTAAAAAAGTTCTTTGTTCAAACTTCGAAAGCATTGGTTTCATTAGTTTTTTAAAACACCAATTACAGATTTTGAGTATGGAGGAAACAATGGCGAAAGCTGAAGTGTGGTTTGAAGTTTAGGATTGTAGCCGCTTTCGAGAGATTTAATTTTGAATTTCTTTTTGAGTTATGAATTTTTGCTTTTGTTAATATTATGATTTTTGTTGTGAAAGTGGAGAGTGAGGGCAAGCTGTTAGGCATAAAATATTTAGAACATATACAATATATAGTCTTTAAAGGAATCCTATTTAGATTTTTTTTTTTTTTTTCGTCAAAGCAAATTGTATTAACTTGAAATATCATCATACAAAATGTTCACCAACCAAGGAGGGGGATCATGGTTAGCAGAATAAAAACAAATAGAACTACACCCAAACTGGGCAAGATTATGAGCAACTTGGTTACAACCACGGTTTACATGAAAAAAAAAAATCTCTTTGAATTTAGATGCCCAAAACTTGATGTCTCGATAAAAGCCTCCAATGGATGCATCGGTTAGACCCCTATTTAGATTTGTAATCCAAAACATAAAAGAGTATTTAGGATATCTCTTGGAAACCTAACTGCTTTCCCTCCAATGATGGTCTAAGTAACTTCTAAGTAGTTTTTGTGCTGAAGAAAGATTTTATGCTACCTTTGGAACCCCATGTATAAGATTCTTGGGGAGGCTCTAATCAAAGAACTCAAAACATTCCAAACGGAAATGAACAGAGGTTTTCTAGTTTTCATCATAGACGGGAGTATCCATTCATGGGATCTTGTTCCATGAATCTCGGTGATATGAGCCAAAGTTTTCATCTTCAAACTCATATTCGGAACCTTTGTTAAACGTAAGAGACAAGAAATATTTAAGCAACCTTCCTCTTAACCCTAAGCTCTCTTGGAGATTAAGGTTAATTCTTGGAAGTTCAGTTCTCGTTAGCATTAAGACCTATATTTATATAGGCTATGATACAACTTAGATTCTAACCTGTTTTCTTTAACATAGAAAGGAAATCATGGTAACCAAACTCATAAAGTAAACCACCAAAACTAATTAATTAAAACGTTCTAACCGGTGGCCTAATCAACCTAACCGTAGTCTCGTATCACTCGGATCATCTGAATTCAAGACATCTATTAAATGTCGTACACTACTCCAATCATCAAACTAATAGCTTGTTGGTGTTCCGTCCTTTATAGTACAAACGAGAAGTCCTTTGCCATAGTCAGGTTTAACCCATTGCTAAAGTTGGTGCTTTAGTTGTGAAAATGTATATCATAAATTTTGGAGTAGAGAAAACTCATTTATTGACATGTAAGTGACAAATTCGATTCATGAGAAAGCCTTTTTGTGTGTTTTTTTTTTAATAAATAGTTTTGTTAATCGTCTTACTTATTTTGTTTTGCTTTAGCGATCAAAATATTACGGGGCAGTCGTGACCATAGTTACAAAATCTAATTGAACACTAATAAATATAAAATCCATATTTGAAAGAAGACCATTCTGTTGAGGAAGTTGGAACGATAAAAGTAACCGAGAAAAAAGACATAGATCAGTCGAATGGCAAGTTGGCAACCAACGCTGCTGCATGTTTTCGTTTGCGGTAATCGGCTACCTTCAAACACAAAATTTTATTTATGTTTATCCTACTCCCTCTGTTTCGTTTTAGTTATCGTTTAAGGTTTTCTCACACAAATTAAGAAAATCATTAAATTTTCTGTTTTATCCTTTATTAATATATTTTTAAAAAAAATTCATTGGCCGAAACATTAAAACAGTAGGGATAAAACTGGAATTTTCACAAAACATTTGCATCGAAAACCTAAAACGACAACTATTATGAAACAAAATTTTAACTCTAAAACGACAAGTAAAACGAAATGGAGGGAGTATTATATCTCTCATCACCAAAAATAACTTCGCATTTTTTTATATACTTATTAAATTACGAATTTTTTTCTACGATTACTGAATTATATTGCTCCTTGTTACTTAATAAGTTTTTTGTTTTTTTTGTTCAAACTTTATAAGTTTGTTATATTATTATAAAAAAAAAAAAAAACGTGACCAGCTACACTATGGTTGCTTTGCCTGTAATGGATCTGGGCCATCTGGGCCATAAATTGAGTATGAGCCCATTACAAAGCTGACGTGTTAAACTTATCCGACGTGTCATCAAACTCGTCTTGTGATTGGTCGTTGTGACGTTCTTTCATCGTCTCCTCCGATTTTAACTTTTTAGAGAAACTCAGTTGAGATTCAATTTCCAATTTTCAGATCATTCAAATCGAAGCTAAAGATCGCCGCCATGGACGCCATTGATTCCGTCGTTGATCCTCTCAGAGACTTCGCTAAGGATAGTATTCGTCTCGTTAAGCGTTGCCACAAGCCAGATCGCAAAGGTAATTTTATATCGTCCTTCGATTCGGGATTTGTGATTCGTTGTTGGATCTGTGGTTTCGATTATTCCGATCTGTGTACTTGGTGACTATGGTTTGAATTTTGCGTTGTTTTGGTTTTGTAGAATTCACGAAAGTTGCAGTTCGTACCGCGATTGGGTTTGTGGTAATGGGATTCGTTGGCTTCTTTGTGAAGCTAATCTTTATTCCGATCAACAACATCATCGTCGGTGCCACTTAGGTAAATTCCTCGATTTGAATTCTAGCTCCTTATGTGAATGATGTTGATGTAGATGATGGTGATTTTGTGCATTGATGGAATTCTTCATACTGGTTCGTGTAAATGTCATTGGATGAGAAATCGTAGCATCAGTTCTTGTGTTTGATTGTTGTAAGTACCCATTTTATGATTAGACCATGGAGAATAAGAGTCTATGAAAACTAGCCTTAGACTAAGAAAGTCGAATTTTTTACTTCCAAGTGTAGGCCTTTGCATAGCACAGTCACTAATTATTCTCTGTAATTTCTTTAGTTGCCACTTTTTGTGGTTCTTGTATATTTCTTTCTATCATGGTGTTCATATGTCAGTCTTGAAAAAAAATCGTGTGGAAGCTTTTACGTTAGTCAATGAGAAATTTGTAAATAGATAGAAACTGTAGTTGTTTGGTTGCAGACGTTTGTATATATGAGTCTAGAATTTTGATAATTTTAGAGATTTGTGCTTTAGCAATTGGCTTTCAAGGGAAGATGGTTGAGGAAGATATTTGCTTTCTTTTACTAACTAGATTATGTGAAAACTATTGTTTCCTTTTACTTTGGGAGATACTCTTCTAAGCTATTTTTGTTGGTGTGTTTGCAGAAAGCAACGGATACACAAGTCAGTTCTATGTTTTGAGAAAGGAAGATTTAGAGGCTTTCTTGTTTCCAAGAGAAGGCACAAGTCAGTTCTGTGTTTTATGTAATCGGATTTCATTTGTTTCAATGTTTTTTTTTGGTTCTTCTTTTTTGTTCACAGCTGAAAAATCGGACGTGTTTTGAATGTAGAGCAAACTAATTTAGAAAGCTGTGGCCGAGCATTTCATAGTCCAGATTATGTTCTCTCTTTTGCACCCAAAGCTCGAACTATAGTCTCCCCAAGTTGGGTAAAAAAAATAAACTTAAATAAACTCTCTATGATCCCCTTGATTGCGATAGTAGACAGCTAGAATCTTAGATGTCTTAAGTTTCCCAATTGCATAGAGAGGCACAACTCTCTTACATTGTCAGATTCTAGATTCATATGTCGCAACCAGAACACTACTGTATCATCATTTGTGTGGTGTGGTCAATAACACTACAGTATACTACTGTATCATTGTGTGTTGTGTGGTCAATAACACTACAGTATACTACTGTATCATTTGTTTGTTGTGTGGTCAATAACACTACAGTATCTATTTACCAATTTCTTATTGAATTTGAAGTGCTTACTCAGATCTTGAATTAATATCACTAACATAGAATCTTCCACAAGAATCAGAACACCAAAGACTTTTTAACATAAACAAAAATGTAATTTTCTACTATGTATGAAAGATACATGAACCACAAAGTAGCAATTAAGGAATTACAAAGACCACCAAAAACTTTTTAACTTTAGACAGCTAGAGAATAGCTAGAGAACACATTTTTTTTTTACAGTAGCTAGAGAACACTTTCAAGTGGATATAATCTCTAAAACCAGAATCATCTTTTCTTTAATTTTCTCAACTAAGATTAGGCTTGATCCAAATAGGTGTCAGAGAAGTACAACAGCCCAAAGACATCTGTTGAGAAAAATACATAAAAAGGCCCATTGTTTTTTTTTTAATAACAAAAAATAGAAATATCCCACAAATTACTGATAAAATGGCCCAGACTTTTCAGGAAAAAAAAAACTATCTAAAAAAGGCATAATTTTGTTTCAAGCACATTCTTACTTAGAAAGGAATCCATTTATTAAACACAAATATATATGCCAAAATTACTCATAAAAAAATTTATATTTTATATCAAGAAAACAGAAAATCGTCCTCCAGTTCCTCCTCCAGTCATTCATGAGATCAAAATTTTATAGGATTTTGAAAACACTTGGATCCTTCATGCTATGTCTTTAGTACGCTTAAAGCCAATATTGAAGCTGCTCTAAAGATATTCCAACCTGATTTTTTGGTCCGAGAGAGGATTATTATTGCCACTTGACCTAGTAGTAGAGATAAACGACGAGCGATTATGGGACAAAGTATCGTATCAAATTCTTACGCATCCCAACAGTAAATTTGCGGTATAAAATGTTGAACATTTTCATGTCTGTCGATGACT